CTCCGAGTTGTTTAATCCTTACTTGAGACATTAGAGGTTCCTTCAGCAACCTCTTCTCTCTGGTAAAGGTTCCTCCAGAAAGCAGGGTTCTTTGAGGATCTTCAGAGTTTCCTGTGACCGATTTATGAAAGCAAGTTTCCAGCAGCATGATCACTTCCTCCTCTCCCCGTCCAGGTCCTCTCTCCGGGCTCCATCTTGGCCACGCAGGGCGCCGGAGGCCAGCAGATTCTCCACGTCATCCACACGATCCCGTCGGTCAGCATGCCCAGCAAGGTGGGCCAGCTGCAGACCATCCCCGTGGTGGTGCAGTCGCTGCCCGTCGTCTACACCACCATGCCCACCGACGGCGTCGCCACGGCGGCCATCACGGTGCCGCTCATAGGCAGCGACGGACGCTCGGAAGGATCGGGTCAGTGTATTTTATTTTCGCCTGTTAGTTTCTAAAATGTAATTCTAAATTTGAAGATTTTTGTGTGCTTGTAGCATTAAAATAAAATGCATTAAATTTTTTTGTCGCTCAAATGATGCGTCACACCTGCCGGCACGCGCAGTGTTGCTAACTTGGTGACGTTCTCACTACAGCTGGTGACTTTTTTTTTTTTGTCAAAAGCGACTAGCGACAAATCTAGCAGCTCTTTCTGGTGTTACGGAGACTCTGACGTGAAACCACGCATCGTTGAGCCGTTTCTGTCCTCAGCGAGCAGTGGTGCCGCCGGGAGCTCGTCCCGTCCCGAAGTGCTCACAGGCGGTCAGCAGTCTGGTCAGCAGTCCAGCTGCAGGCAGCAGGACAACCAGACGGCAGCTTTACTTTGCTCCAGGGAGATAATTTAAGATCGGCTTCTTATTTCATAAATAGAAGGAGAATTCAAATAGGCATTGAGCGTTTTATTTGAAAGTAACCTTCAATCCAGCTTGTTGCAGAAATAAAATGTAGTTTTCTCTGCAGCAGTTCATTGATTTCATGAATGCAACACACTGTAGTTTTCTATACATAGCATAAAGCTTAAAACGATGTATGCAGTGTTATCTTGATTTTAGATGTCAGTGGGGTTTTGTGGCTCCTGGTGTTTTCTGTTCTGTGGGAAACGGGTCCAAATGGCTCTCTGAGTGCTGAAGGCTGCCGACCCCTGGTGTGTACTGTGACACTATCATAATAAAAACAATAAGCCACGTTTGCACCGCTTAGTCTGGACCTCGTTGTCGTCTTCAGGCCCAACTGACGCAGTTTATCAGACCATGTGTACAACTGTGTGCAGAATGCTGGAATCTGATATGTAAAACTGGTACGCTCCTCCCTTAATGTGCTTCATTTGCAGCCTTTTTATTGTGCAAAGGGGCATTTCAACACTGCTGTGTCTTCATGTATAGGCAAAGCGGACAAACATATGAGGCAAACACAGGTGTACACTGGGTAACGGGTTGATTTAAAAGTACAAAAAGTGTCAGAAAAATCATCTGTCAGTGGCGGAAACAGGCGATTCTACACATCAGAGCGCTAATATCAGCTACTCGGGCTGAGAAGCTCCTATTTTGGTTCTACTTTAGCTGGAAAATGCACCAGAATAACTATTTGCTGAATGCTTTCTTGGGAATCGATGGTGATTAATTGTTTGGGAAGACGGGTTAATTGGCTCCAACCACTCGGTACCGGCTGACCTCACCCGACAGCCCGTGCAGCTCAGTCGATTGGTTCCGTCGCCGGTGACAGTTTCCCCTGTTGTTGCACAGAAACCTGACGTCTCCTTTCAGCGACGGGGCTTGACATTGCATGCTGAAGTGCAGCGCGGCGCTGGGTGTACTGTGACAGAACGGGCCGCCGTGCTATTTTCAGACGAGCTCCCTGAACCGGCCACGCCGCCCTGTCGAATGATGACACGTGCTCCTCCGTGACCCACGCTTCCAGCTGTTTAGGGTAGTATTTAGAAAAAACACAGAACCTGGAGGAGGTGGACTCTTGAGGTGAACAAACAAGTGAACCAACACAACGGAAACTCTGACTCCAGGATGTCATCTTGTTTAACATGTTACCTGTCACGTGTCACTGATGTGTTTTCACAGCCATCATATGATAATACGCAGTCTGCTAGTGTGATTACTACCATCACCACAAGCTGCTGATGGCGCAGTTTGGATTTAGATGCTGTTTTCACTCAAAGAC